GGCATGGTATGGACATCCAGCAAGCAGGAGTAAGATAGTGGTGGCCCTGAAGGTCAGGCTGAGGAAGGTAGGCTTCATATTCGGCAATAGAGAGCCATCGGTGTACAAGCTGAGCAGTGATGTGTACAGACCAGTGGGCCCTTGGCCTAGCCAATTAGCAGGCAAACTCACCTTAACCATGAGACATGTAGGTCTTAGATATAGCCATTTGATGGGTAAACCCAATGTAATAACAGGATTAGACTCTATGACTTTTAGCATTGAAGTCTCTACAATTTTAGGACCTATTATAGCTTACATTACAGGGGTGGGGACAAATAAAAACTTAGATAAACAGGAAGAGTTCAGATCTCTCCATAGCTTCATCCTCAGACCAACCAGCAGGAACCAGTCCCAGATAGAAACAGGTTACAATGCAAAATCTTGTCTTGGAGAAAACACATATATACAAAGAAGCCATCTCACTGCCTTTTTCTAAAGTACACATAAAGAGTGAGGTCTAATCTTTGTAAAAGGGAAGCAGCTATTCACTTATCCCCTCCTCGGAGCCTCCTTTGCCCTCTCAGAGTGTGAACCTAGGCAATGCCCACTTCTCACCCTCATTAGAGAGTAGCTCACTTGGCTTTAGGGCCAAAGAGCTGGGTGGCATTAGCAGGTGGTGGGGGACAGGCAGGAGTGAGAATGTTTTTGTGAGCACTTGTCCACTTCCCAAAGCCAGGCAGAAAAAATGCTATGGGGATGTTTCATTGTAAGTTGGGAGGGCTTCTGTCTTAGCAAAAGGTATCCAGGAAGGTCCAGGGTACAGTCAGGAGCTGGAAGGTTTTGTTCAAGTTTTCAGCAGGGCTGTCATGGATGTTGCAAGCTCACTGATAAGGAACCCACCATCTCATCTGGAGCCATTTCACAACTTTCCAGGAGCCTGCAGCTTCAGCCTTCCTGGGTGAGGATGCCCTGCCTGCAGAGCACCAGCCCTAGGCTCTCTTCTTGACCCACAGAGACACATCTGGAGCAAGGCATCTGGCTGGAGAGAGAGCATGGTGGGTGTGGGCTTAAGCCTTGGACTCTGATCTGCAGCCCAACCTTGGCCACTGGGCAGTTCTGTCTCATGGGCCACTCCCACTTTCTGTACCGCTGTCTCCTCATCTGCAACATGCAGAAATCATGGCCAGTCAGCCTACATCAGAGGGATACTGTTGGGACTGAAAGAAAGGGCGATGGAAGGGGTGTGAGCTGCACACCTGGGGACGATAAGGCCATTCCCTCCTTTTGATGGCACATAGTGTGGCAGCAGGAAGGACTAGAAAGGTACTGTTCCCAGGATTAATTAGGACGCTCTTGCTTCTGAACAACTGCTGAGGGCCTGAGTCCCAACCTCACCCCTCACCATCTAGGTGACGGTGAAGCAGACATCTCAGCCCCTCTGGACCTTCATTGCCTTTGAACTGGGAGGAGAAGGGAGTTGGTGCTCACTGATTACTAAGGTGCTTTCAAGCTCTGCATTTGTTCCCTAGGGCCTGAATCCTCCTCTGTCCCATCTCCCAGCTGAGGGGAGACCAGGGAAGAGGAAGGCAGGCTCCCGGTGATCAATGCGGCTGCTGGCTAGTAGCTGAGGATGACTGCAGGTGGGGACAGAGGGACAGCGGACTCCCTAAGTGCCAGGGACAGCAAAGGTCCAAATTTCACTTGCAATTGCTTCTTACCTGAATGGGAAGAAATGGAGGCTGGAAGCTGTGGTGTCAATGGAGGCTGCTCGGAATTCACATTGCACATCCATTATTCACCTCTTCATTTTCATTCATTCATCTGCCTACACCACAAGCACTGTAGGAGCCACTACTACGTGGCAGACACTGTCCTGAGCATTGAGGATATAGTCATGAGGCATTCACAGCCTCGTGGGAGTTGACAAAAGAAGGAAACAGATGGTTCCCACACAGCCTGAGAAGTGCTGGGGCAGCAGCGACAGTGGGTGCTATGGGAGTACCGGGTGCTGCCAGGGGGCGTGGAGGAGGGCCCGCAACCAGTCAAACAGGGCAGCTCCCACCTAAGACATGGCAGCCAGCTCGCTGAGATGATGGGAAAATGTCAAAACTGCTTGGTCCCCAACAGCTTAGAGGGTGGTAAGAACAAAATACCCCAGAGAAAGGTTACTGGGTGGGATAATTAATGTTTTGCTAAGGAGGAAAATATTAGTGTGTGTTGCTCAACATGCAAACACCTCAACTAACAAAACGGCTGGGAGAAAACAAGTAGAACTGACTGTGGGATTTTTCTCCTGAAGATTAAAAAGAAGAAGAAGAGATGAGGAAAAAGACAGTAGTCACAAACATACCTCCTCCCGAGGCTGAAAGAACATTCTCCACCAGGTGGGAAACGGAAGCCCAGCTTAAAAAAGAGGCTTACGGCTGCTCCCTTCAGCATGATCATTGTCCTGGCAGACAGACCCAACCACCACACCTATCCTCAGGGTCATCCTGGTCACAACGCTACCAGGGGAGTTTCTGCATATGCTGGTTCAGCATTTTGAGGGAGAAGAGATTTCTTTTTTCTTATTATGGCGCTAGGGTTAAACCTGGGCCTCAAGCATGCTGGGCAAGCACTCTACCAATAAACTCCCCCTGCCAGCCCTGGGACAAGAGACTTCTGATTGGCTGGGGTACACTTAGCAGGTGTGACTTCTAGGAACCTGCCTCCTCCCCAGAGTTTCATCTTCTCAAGCAGAGCTGCGTGTCTCCAGCTTGTGTCCCCAATGGAAGAGACAGCTTAATTTGAGGAGGTGAAAGAAATTCTTCTCATGTGAACTATAAATATGTTTTCAGAAACTTCAGGTGACAGGGCAAACCCTAAATAAATACTTTTCCCATTGATGTCAAAGCCTACTAAGAATTTCCAATTAGTGCTGAGTCCACCAGAACCATGGTGGTGACTGCCCTCTTCCCCAGATGCCATTCTAGGGACATTGCCCCATCCACAGGAGGACTCTAGCATGAGAATTTGGACACATCAGGGGTAGATTTGGGCTGGGTCTCCAGAGACGAAACTTCAGGAAGAGCCTTCTTCCCATTAGTCTCCAGAGTGCTGTGGGCCAGGGTGTGAGGGAGAAGCTCTAGGCAGACTTATGGTGACAGCAGCAGTCTGCTGACCTTAAACTTGTTCTTATTACTACCAGATCGGGCCCAGAGTCCAAGCAAGTCCTGTCTTCATCTGCATGGGGAACAGATGTAGCATCAGATAGCCAGAGAAGTCCTGGACTCCCCTATCCTACACTGGGACAAGATTGAGCCTTGGTCTTGCCAGCCAATTTGGGGAGGGTGACCCTCTCATTTATGTCCAGCGGCTACCCAGAGCCAGCAGTCCCCACCATATAGGGACTGTCAGGGAGTTTGGGTTTGCCACTGTGGCTGTCACTGGCAGAGACTGGTGCTGTTTGTGGCTCTGGCTTTGAGATCTGTGGTCATCCTGAGGTCTTCCTCTACGCGAGCTGACTGCTGCCTCCTTGGTCATCAATGAATGTCACATATGACCACCATTCTCCCCCTTACTTACCCTTATTTGCACACTAGGTGCAAGCCCCTTTCTCATGGGTGCTTATACATCCTCTTGAACACAACCAGCAACTCTTTGGCCAGCCAGCTCTTTCACAGTGTAGACCCCACCAGTCAGGTCATTCCACAGAATGGATGCTGACCAGGACATACACTCTCAGAGTGAAAGTGAACCTGGATTAGAGTCCCAGCTTTGCCAGAGATACTTAACCTTAACATTTCCTGTAGACTTTCCCCAGTAAAATAGCAAATGTGCTTACTGCAGAGATTTGTGATATTAAATGAGACCATCTTAAAAAATAAGCAAACAAAAAAGCCTCCAATTTAGCTCCTTTCTCCTTCTGTCTTAGGTCAGAGATCTAGAAACAGACTCTGAAGAGATTTGATGCATTCACTGGGGTGAGCTTGGGATGAACCCCTGTAGGGGAATAGAGGGAGCAAGCTTAGGCTGAGGGAGATATGGGACCACTGTACTGTTACAACCAAGGCTGCAGCCAGTCCCATGTGAGCTAGAGCTCTGGGCTAGGGTGGCCCCGCAGAGATGTCTCACATTAAGACAATGGACTGGGCCTTTGCTTCCCACATCAGCCTGTCACTGGATATAGGCTGTCCCCAAACTCAAGAGGGGCACAACCTTGAGCAATGTAGCTCCCTTCCACTGATGGCCATGCTGAGGGACAGAGTTCGGCCCTCCCAGCCATTGCTGTATAGCCAAGACATTGAGTAGATCCATCCTTAAGGATGGGCTGGGGCATGAACCCAGGCATCCACTACAACCTCTCATCTCTCTCTCGATGCTAAACCCAATAGCAGTTTCCAAGAAGGGAGCTAAAATTACTTTAGCAGAGACCAACTGGGAATGGGGAGGCTGATGTTCCGTTCAGGCCAAACTATTAACCTACGTGGGCTGACTTGGACACATCTTTTCATTTCTTCGGCTTTCAGCTATTCTGGTTTTGTTTGTTTGTGGTACTGGAGATTGAACCAGGGCCTTGCACATGCCAGGGAACCCTCTACTTGAGCTACAACCTCAACCCTCTTTGAGACAGGCTGGCCTCAAACTTGCCATTTTCCTGCTTCCTGCTTCAGGTGGGACTACAGGTGGGTGGTGCCACTGTGCCCAGCTTCATTTTAAAACACAGTAAAGGTCTGGGGATGTAGCTCAGTGATGCAGCACCTGCCTGGCAAGCACAAGGTCTTGAGTTCGATTCCTGGGATCCACCAAAAATAAAATACAGTAATACCAGGGCATAATTTGTTCCAGAAACATGCTTGTAATTCAAATCACTTGTATATCAAAGTGAATTTCCCCACAAGAAATAATGGAAACTCAGGTGATTCATTCCACAGCCCCAAAATACTTATATAAAAATGATTATAATACCATAATATAATACAAAATAATGAAGAAAGTACAAAGTATAAAGGAAAATAACTGAATTGATCTGCACTTACCTTTGAAAACCGTGGCTGGTGTGAGAGACACAAGAGAGAGGAGGATTATCGTTAGGATGATTTTCACTATCACTAGTGGAATCATTGCTATTTATTATCTCAATGGAATCTTTTTCTTTTTGTGCAACTTTAACAAGGAACCTACCCAATGACACTTGCTTTTGCTTCCTGTTAAGGATTTCACAGAAATGTGGTACTGCACTGTCATTACACAAATTCACTGCTCACACTGCTACCGCCTTATTTGGGTGGTGATTTCTACAAAATTTTGCAGTTTCCCACATTTTACACATCTCCCTAATCTCATTTGAAGTGAGGGATTCCTCTATCTTTTCCTCATCCTCCTCCTGCAGATGAGATCCCTCCATAACCTCTTACTTTTCAGAGACAATCACCCACGATCCTGCAGATTGAGAGACAGAGACAGAGACAGAGAAGAACAACTGGCTCAGTTGTGATCATGACATTCAGTATCATGTATTATTAGTATTGCAAGACATTTCTCATTTATCAAGTTAAAATTTATTAGAAATGTTTGCTCATTTGCAGAACAAGTTACTCACAATCCAAAGCGTTACTGTAGGTTCTAATAACTTCCCCACCTTCCCTGTGGGACTGTGGGGAAGGCAACATGCCCTAATGCGAACTGTGAAGCGCTTGAAAACCTATGGCATGGTATACAGGTATACAGGATAACCACACACTGTAATGTCTGTGTCTGTCTGAGTCCCCTCTACTCTTTTCTGTGCCTTTTGAGTTCACTCCTTCCTGTAGGGCTGCGTCCCGTTGTCAGCTGAGGAAAATAGGTCACCTTGGACAGGGCCCCCCGCCCCCAGGGCACTAGACCATTCTGCTCTGAGGTCTAGTGAGAACTGCTGCATGCAAGAAGGTTAGGGATGTGGGCAGCAGGGCCTGGAGCCCTGGGTCACTGCCCTTTGAGGGTAATGGCTTTCACAAGAGCTGAAGTGTGTTGAGCACAGGACAAGAGATGGCAGATCGGTCATGCTAGAGTGCTCCCTTCGAGTGTGACATTTGTTGGCTCTCCAAGTGGTTTCCTGGCCTGCTCCCCACCCTACCCCTTCTCTTGCCCCTCAGCTGCTACAGTCATCCATCATCAGCCTCCTCCCTAGGAGCGAGCCACCCCTTGGAAGCATCCGTTAAATTGGCAGGACCTCCTCTACCCGCTTGTGTGTCCATCTGGCCCTCCACAGAGGTAAATCATGCTTTCCTCTTCATTCGCAGCTTTCAGGGGATCATTTCTAGGTGTTTTAAAGCCCGGTTTTATTGCCTTTCCTTTCAACTGATTGTGCTAGGCTCTTGTCACAAGCACTAGGGAACAAAGCCTGTTATTCCCCGGCTGAATCCTAGACCATGTCACCCAATTAAGTGTCTGTCTTTTCCCCTCCTCACTCCCTTTTTCTTTAAGCATTTTCGGTGGGGAAGAAAAACAATGGCCCTAGACGGAGACTGAATTTCTAATACAGAACCCTTGATGGTGGGGGTCTCCAAACGTGGCTATGCTAGAAAATGCCTAGGGAGCTTGTTAAACACACAGATGGCTGTGCCACCTCTAGGAATCCATATTTCACCCTGCTTTGGCCACCAGCCTTTGCATAGCTATGAATGACGGCCCCTGAGGGGCCCGGTTGTCTTAGACGTCTGCACACTGACATCTTAGAGCCGGCTTGAGCCAGAAGCTTGTTGCAGCCAAAAGTCTATAGCAATGGAGAAAGGAAAGCCTGAATTCTGGCAGGGTCTAGGATGATGGCTTCCAAAGCGCAGCCCAGAACTGCAGCATGAGCTTCACTGGGACTTTAGGAAATGCAGATTCTTGGTCCCCATCTCAAACCTACTGACACAGGGCGCTCATATGTGCTTTCACAAGCCTGCAGGTGACTCTTATGACATTAAAACTTAAGGGCTGCCAGTGGAGCTACAGGAACCTTCCACCCTCAGGATAGCATGGTTATCACTCTCCTCGGAATGGGGCGGCCCCTGATGCCACTGCTTTCAGGGCCAGAGAGCAAAAGTGGGGGCAGCCTCTTAGCCTGTGTCTGAGGCTCCTAGTAGAGGCTTGATCAAGGTCTCTTAGCACATTAGTGGCTGACTCCAGACTCTGGCAGAAAGGAGTTGATCTGAAAGAAAATCTCTGCTCTGGGGCTGCCAGGGTTTGTGCATTCATTCAGTCATTCAACAAACAGCACTACTGTCTGTCAGGCACTGCTGGTCTTTGTACTCGGGGTTTCAGACCAAGCTGAGGTGATAGGGATAAACTTTCCGTTCTTCTGTTGGAAGAAAACTGAAGCGTCCTAAAGCAAAGTTGCTCTCACAAGATCCGCAGCTGGGAAGCAATGTAGCAGTGTCAGAGGAGAATCCAGAGAACCAGCTCTAAGCTCAGAGTTAGACCCTGCTGGCTCATTGCTCCCCCGGAAAACTGACAAAGCCCTAATGGCCAGAGCCAATGGCTCCTCTTGTTCCTGGGAAAGCTCACGAACAGTGAGTGATGCGGACCATTCCCTAGGGACACAAGCCAACTCTTGTCCCAAATGCCAGCCTCCAACCAAGACAGAGTAGAGAAACAGCAGGGGACAATCAGCTACAAAGAGGACTCTAGCTGTGCCCCCCAGTGCATTAGGCTCTGGAGCCTGCCTCCGAGCCCCTGCCCTCCCCCAGCCCTTAGCCCCCCAGTTCAGCTGGCCTTGGGCAGGGAGGGCCCCGCCATTCGTTCCAGACACCACGTCTCCTCTATTTATGGGTTTTTTCTTTGCTTCTGCGGCTCTCCCTGGATGAATGCCCCCTTCCCCTGGATTTATAGCATCCTCCCTCGGTGGGGTTGATGTCACTTTAATGAGAGTTACAGCTGCCTTCCACTGCGACTGCTGCATTCCAATTTACTGCCTGGCCTCCAGGAGCCCAGCAGGGCTGCTCCCTGGCAGGGAGGGGTGCTGCGCTCCCTGGCCTGGGATCAGGAGATGCCAGATCACTGCAGTCTCTCATCAGCCTGCTCAGACACCCTGCCCCCGCGGTGGGTCTGGAGTGCAAGAACAGGACACTGAGAATGGAGACAACAGGGAGAGGGGGTCCTTGTGCAAATGTAACCCTGTAGGTTTGGGAAAAGAAAATTCAAAGCTTTCCCAACTGACCCCTCACCCCACCGCCACCGCCCACCCCTGTGAGAATCAAAGTCCTGCAGTGGAATGGAGCGGGAAGAGGAAGGTGGGGCATTCACAGAAAGCCTGTTGTTCGCTAGTTGAATCCAGATGTGGCGGCAGGAGGGCCGTGATGGGAGGGTACTGGAGAGCGGAGGGGAAAGAGGAGGGGAATTAAAAACACAGAACTGCTGCAGGAGCCACAGAGATATCCCAAATGCCTTCTACTTTTCAGGGCCCTCTCCTCTGGACCTCAAAGTATTACCCCAGACTGACCTCCATCATCTCTAGCTCATAAATCCAAGGCCGTATTGCCGCTAGACGAAGCTCATGTGGAAAGACTGCAGCCATTTGTAGGATGCTTATTAGGGGCCCCAGCTGTGCTGCCAAGCCCAAGGCTGTGTGGATTTTCTTCTGCCACAGGCCGAGTCGTGGAAGTTGATGCTTGGCCTGGGCCAAGAGACGGAGGTGTGGTGTGGGGAGGCTGGGGAGTTGCACATAGTGCTTTACTTGATTCTCATGACAACCCTACAGGATGGGAATCATTACAACATTAAACAGTAAGTCTTGGAGGCGAGTTAAGCAGCAGCCCAAGGCCATATGATGGGAAAGCAGCACTCACAGCTCAGACCTGGCCTGTGTGACCCACAGCCTTTACCATATCACCCATTTTGGAGCTTCTACGCTTGCTGACCTGTAAGCAAGCCCAGCGTTTGCTCAGAGTGGCCCCACAGTCATGTGAAAGACAGGCCCCTGGAAGCAAGCCGTTGGCCGTGTGTTCAGGATGGCCCAGCCAGCTTATACCCCATCCCTTCCTTGGAAGTAGGAGGAGTCTGTGGTGAAGGAGACACTGTTGCCCAGGAGGGCACAGGGTGAAGGGTTTCCCAGAGACTGGGACATGGGAAAGGGAATGGCCTGTGCCTGCCCCATTCTGTTCCCACTGCCTCATTCTCCAGGAACAAGAAGGCCATGGTCAGGTTCAAAGTCACAGCTGGGAAAGAAAGCAAAGGTTGCAGTAGTGTGGATATCTGAGCTGCCAGCAACTCTGCTGGATCCAACATGGAAGCAGACACGTGGTCCTGGGAAGAGGGTCAATGCCCGGGAAGGACTGTGTGGCACAACAGGCTCTCGAGGGTAGCAATTCAGGCTTTGGAGTCAAAGGAACTAGAGGTAGCCCAAATTCTGCCACATTCAGGGGTCACCTTGCCCAAAGCCTGTGCCTCACTTCCGCATCTGTAAAAGAAGGGAATTAATAATTCCCACCAGCTGCAGTCAGGCGGGAATGAGGTATGATGTATTTAAAACACTCTGGCCAGTACCTGCTGTGGAGGGAGCCTTGAGAAATGTCAGCTGTTACTACATGTCCACTTTCCACCAGATAATCTGAGACCTCAGTCTCCTTGTGTTTACTTGGGTAGAAAGATCCACTTGGAAGAAACCACTTGGTTCCCTCAGGTCTCCCCAGACCTCTCATTCTAGGGACCCACGGGACCATAGAGGTATTAATTAGCAAAGCCTCAAGACAGGCCCAGGCGGAGAGAGAGCCTTGTTAATGTTAATTGGTACCATCAGATCTTTGCCCAGTCAGGATGAAGCAGTGCATGCTGGGACCATCTCTTTGCCCTCGGGGTTCAGAATCTTCCCAAGACTGTGCACCCCGAGCAGCTGCTGTGGAGTAGGCAGGCAGGCAGCTCCTCCCTTCCCTCCTCCCTCACAGCCCTCACAATGTGAGAAAGGCAGGAGGAGCCAGGGGAGAGGGGAGGAGGGCTACCATCTTCTCTGGACCATCAGGACCACGTACTTGGGCCAAACAACATTCTGCATGCAACCATGATGTGAGCATCTGGCTGTGTACCAACACCAAGGGCTGCACCTGGGAGATGCCAGTCTAGCATGGTTCTCATACTAATTTAATGAGCCAGGG